CCTCGATCCTGAATTGGACCGCAGTCAGTGGACAGATAAGGAAGTGAGTATTCGTCGATATGATGCAGGCCAGGGAGATACTGTTAGACCAGAATTGACCCAATATTTCTGTGTTCAGAACAAGCTTCTCCAGGAGGCGCACGACAAATACGGCAGACGATGGAAAGAAATTCAGGCCAAGTACTTCCCCACGCGGTCAAGAAATGCAATCAAAAACCAGTACATATCGCCTTGCTGAAAAACCAAGGAATAAGCCATGATCGCTGATATTCTGAGCAGATACACCATCCTTACCCGAAAACGGAAACAACCGCAAATCAATGGCATTGAAGACAATGAAGAAGCTCTGAGTCAGTCAGAAAGTGAAGAAAATGGCACCATGGAAGCACGGGAGACAAATATCATGGACTTTTCATACGAACAATCGGATGATGATCTGAGTGACCATGATGCCATGATCGACGGGTGTGATTCTGCAGGGGAACAAGAGCCTCCCAATGAAATTGATGCCTGGGTTCTGACTTCTGCAGCACCTATAGTCACTTGCTCAGTGATGCAACTCCCGCAGACCATATGGCGCTGGATCCTACGACCAATGCAGACCAGGTGTTGTCGCAGTGCTTTCCAGGCGGAGGACTGCACTGCTGGGATATACCAGGGCCACAGACAGTCCAGACAGGCCCTGAAATCTTCCAGAACAACATCCCTGATCCGCTTAAAGACCCCGCGCTCTTGGCATCGGAGTTCTTCCCGATCCCAGACACTGGCCCGGGGTCTGTTGGTCAGAATCTTAACTTGGTTGATTGGCACCAGACGTCACCCCTTGCTCGTGACGAGGTCGGTTCTTCTTTCAAGAGGATCACCCTTACGGTGCAATCCCCGTGCCCAGAAACCGTCGAGTCCCTCATGCGGATTGCCTTGACAACTGCATCCTCGTTCAGCTTTGACAGAGAATAAAGCATCGACAATGTCCATCCCTCGCAGTAATCCCTTTTCAGACGCCCAAAACTGAGCCACGGTGGCAGCCGGTATAGGGTTGGGGCCACATAATCCCTCAATGAATACCATATAGAGCTATGATCGCAGGGGAACGGTGCTTGAATTTGAGACATAGAATCATAGAATAGTGTATGAGAGTCAATTGTGAATTCATCGGCCACCTGGGCAATCAGTTGTGTATTCTGAAGACCAAAGAACGCGTATTGAGAAATGATCAAGGATAAGCTCAATTTTCAAGCTATCGTAGTAAACAAAGTCTGCACCATCCAACATCATCATTTCCCAGCTTTCGGCAGTTCACACATCACCACAGAAACCTGACTCCGGCAGTCATAGATCTTACTCAAAGAGAGTCCTGCCAGATTAATGATCCGTTCAAACTGGGCCGGAGTCCTCTCGATACCGTTGATGATACTCATCATGGTGATGTCTCTCTGATGGCTGTACCGTGCAAAATATCCATAGTTCGCCGGCAATGGTTCCGGGGCTGAAGATATCCCTTCAAATCCAAGTGTGGTATTCATGACCTGATCGCAAATGAGAAGTCGCGAATTGAAACCCATACTCTTGCGTATACCACTCAGAATCTGGATGCAGTATTCATCGGACCAGTCATGCCTGCCGAGTACAAATGTCAGAAAGAGACGAAAGAAGGATGCTGTTTGAGACATATTCTCTTACAAGATATAGCGGAGCCAATATACATCAGCTCCCTTGACTGGGTTCTCGTCAAAGAAGTCATGCGGCATGAAGGTAACTCGGCCTTCTTCCACTGCACGGGGGTTTTGTTGTGGCCAAATTTCGGTCTTTGCCTGCTCTAGAGCTGGAGGCCGATCTTGGACAATGAACTTGAGGTCAGGGTAAAGATGTGATAGTTCCAGGCAGAAGCCACCTGCATGTCATGAGTGAGCTGCACAGGAAGGTGGGAGAGTGAGCACCAAAGACATACCAACACCACCTCCAACATCTACCACGAGTGCCTCACCTAGGCTTTTCCAAGGATAATCTGAAAAAAGGAGAAGTGTCAGTGGCGGCATTGACCTTTGGAGACTTTTACAAGAGCGCATACCGAATAAATGGGCGACCCCAAACACCCGACCGCCACCGACCATGGCCAGACCAAAAACGGCATGTTCTGGTCGTTTTACCAGGGTTTCCGGAGACTTTGAGTCAACTGCCTGTGTCAGTTCCGGACCGAAGGGCCCAGGATACGCGGAGCCGGAGCCACTCTGCAGCTCCGCTACTGTGACCTCTTCTTCCAGCCAGTTCCATCGCTCAGCAGTTGTGTTAGCGGCCTTTTGAAATGCAGTTTCCTTGACTGAGTATGACGGTCCCAACTCGGGGTCGAGCAGGGCTCGAGGCAGCGCATCCGAAGCGCTGTAGAGATCGAAGGAGCTAACAAAGGTAAGCAAAAGGGTAAATGGTACATGCGCGAGGAACAAAAATCACACACAACATCATAACATAAGCACGAAGTGCCTCATTGTGTATAAGAGAAGCAGAGATTCCGTTATTGGCGAAACAATCCTCTCGCACTTCTTTGAAGATATGGATCGAACAGAGACATCTCATGACTCGGGCTAAAACAAAAGAAAAGTTAGTAGCCTGTCAAAAGAAAGATACCGTTTGTAGAGATAACTGACACAGCTTTTGAGCCTCAATGCCCACCGCGTCACTTAGCTGATCAACTGGAACACCGATGTCTCCGGCTTTGGCCAATATATCGGCTACTCGGAGTCCAACGGCAATGTGAAGACACCGAGATTCATTGTATTGGGAAGAAACCTCGAGAACACGCTCACTGGGGGTTGCAACGAGCTCGACAAACTTGCCCGTAGCAGAAATGAGCGTGCGCTTGGCCTCAAAAAGCTCCCGAGTGAGAATCTGGGTCTCTGCCTTCCTTTTATCCTGGTCGTCAACTTTGTCTCCCGCACTGGGAATCTTTGACCACTCGTTGATGACAGTGCGCACTGCCTGAGTGGTCACTTCTAAGAGCTGAAGAAGCTGGTGAACATCGCGAACAGTTGGTGATGAAGCCATGACACAGCAGAACTAGTAGTAAGAAGTAAAAGATCAAGCGTTGTTCGCTATGAGGAGGAATCGGATGACAGGAATTTCCGAATACTTACATACTTGCGGGCCTGCGTACGGCAATGGTAGGTCTGCGAGTCCTCTAGCGGGCCGCAGTACATCAATTATGGGCCGCGGTAAATTTATCTGATGAGCATGCTGCTCGGGAAGAAGGGAGACAAAAGACACGATCCATTCAGGTAGAAGAGAGAGGTTGCAGAAGGCAAACTTGAACGGGGCAAACAATGTGATTTTGACTACATGAAATTCAGTCCAACCTTCAACACCATCATTTCAATGATTTCGCCCAGAATAGGATATCGAAATACGCTTTTGAAGATGGGTGTATTGTTTCGTGCTTTTGACTTTTGGTTTAATTGACGTGGTGAGAAAAGGATTTCAATCTAGACATCTGGATGTCCAGATCTCGTGCTGGGGCAGCAATGACACGGATTAGAAAATTCTTAACTTCCATTCACTATGGCCCCATGAACCGGCTTCGTCGATGATTTTGCATCTATGAATTTTGGTGGACAAAATCCGTAAAAGGCGATGTTTCAGACCTTTGCCTTAGTTATAGAAAAGGAAATATTTAGAACCAATCCGTGCTTCATTGTACTCAAAACGCACCACCGTATTGATCATATACCCTCCACAGAAAACAATAAAGAACTGGAAGTTGCATATTGCGTACACATTTATACATCACTTCGAGACACGCATGGTCAAAAAGCCAGCGAAGTAATCATTCAGCAAGTCAAGATCATCGGGCATGCCACTCATTCCAACCCACAAATCTGGGCGGATCACCACCACAGCACCCGTGCGGTGGTTCACTCCATAGGTGCTATGAGCATCCTCATCTGGAGCACGGTCATCGGACAGGAAGGTTGCGGTCTCACCAAGAGCACACAGGTCGTCACCCTGCAATCTTTCTTCCACTTCAAATGGAGTTCCTTTGGCGACAACTACAATATTGAAACGCCGAGGCCCACCATACCGGGAGTAAAAGTTAAGTGGCGCGTCAGCTGCCAGTATGCTTGAGAAACGACATATTTTCTCTCTGACAGGGCCCAATAGGTCAGACACAAAGATCACGAGGTGGAAACGATTGGTCCCCGTAAGATGATCATATAGATATCCTGTATGGCCTGCGTCGAAACACAACCGAGGATTAGGTGCGCGCACCCCATTCTTGACCGCAATCGGAGGGCGAGATTGAGGAACAATGTCTCTTGTAGGAGGGCTGATACAATTCCATCCGTAAGCGGCGTCAACGCCTAAAAGGAATGGTCCGTGTCGCGAGAAGAAGTCTCCCAGAAACGCCTTCGCCTCAGCGGGAGACATAGAGCTAGCGTACTGTGAGTTTGCCTCATAGATGCTGCCATTGTGACCAGAAGGTCCTGAGCCGTTCGTGGTGGCGGCTTCTTTGTCCTCTGCCGAGAAAAGTCCCTCAATCGTTTCATGACCAAGAGCCGCTCCGATTTCGTACAGGTTGGCTGTTGGCAATGGTGAGCTACAAACAAATCGAAGATATTTCCCCGACACTTGGATGACCCTGTTGGCGTGTAGTCGGCGTTCACGGTCATATGTGGGCAGCAGCTTCTCTACCGCTGCGTCTTGGGACACGCAAAGTCCAATTTTCCAGGCAAGATTGGCAGCATCCAAAATAGATGCGTTGAGGCCAAACGCTCCCATCACACTGTGGACGTGACTGTTCGTTTTGAGAAACCCACAAGGGTTAGCAAATGTCAAATATACATGTTCATCGTCTTGCTTGACGGTCTCACTTACGCTGAATCACCAACTAGATGAACTCTGAGATCATCAGAGGAGAATGAGCGCGCAACACGCTCACTAACTGTTTACCACCACACAGTTAGTCACATTGTTGAAGGATTAGGGGAAGGAAGAAGGAAGAGAGGGAGGGATCAAGTACTTTTCCACACGGCGAACCAACTCAGTGGCGCTCCGAACTTCAGCTTGTAAGGCGCAAATATTCTGTTGGCTTGTTCCAATACCTCATCAGGAGTAATTGACTCGACATCAATCTGACCTCCAGATTCGGCGACTTCGGGATCTGTCGCTTGCCGTGAAGCTGCGAGAGGACCATGTTGGGAGGTGTCGAGCTGCGTGTAGAGCCTGGAAACAATTTAGCATGATCATGAGAGATGTAAACGTATGCCACCGGAGCTATAACTTACCGGATGAGACCATTTTCTCTCGGTATGATCACACATCCGCCATGTTCAGAGCTGACAACAGAGCTAGAGAGGGAGTGTTAGGGAATGTGGTTTACGTAGACATGGGGCACACCCTTACCCAAATATCCAAGCATGTGGATAGTCCGTCTCAAAGACACAATCCATAATTCCCCAATACAAGTCAGTGCTCATGCCATCAAAAGGGATATCAAGCCGCTTTCGAATAGAACTAGCCCCTCCATCACTCCCCACCAGGAACTTTGCCTTAATCGTTTCCTGCTGCCCGGTGATACCATTTTCAATTATACTATGGATTGGATATGACTCAGGCGACAAGTTAGAGCTCTGACTCTGGTCCACATGAAACTCCTTGAGCGTGGTGTTTCTTTCTACGAGCATCTTGTGTCGAAGAAGATCTCGGATGTAAATGCGTTCGATCTGGCCTTGAGTGATAATGTGTAAGCCGCGATAGCGTGAGTCGGACTGGTGAGATCGCCCATGATGCAACAATTGGCCGTTGAAATAGATCGCCGTGCGTTCAATGAGTGGGCCTTCTTCTTGCACCTCGCTGGCTAAACCCCAAGACGAGAGAGTCTCGAGGAAGCGAGGCTGAACGCCGTCGGCGCGGCCTGCAATCAGAGGGGTGGGCGCTTTGTCTATAGGATAAATTCTCAGGGTCAGCAAGTGCAAGTTTCTTGTAGCATCGGGTGTGTGTGCATACCGATAATTCGAAAAGTCAAGCCTTGACGGAGTAGACTTAGCGCAACTTCCAAGCCACTGGGTCCAGCTGTGGAAAAAATAATGTCTTGGTTAGAAACAATCACTTTGCGTAGAAAAACTGGGTACAAATCTGAGGGCCAGGGTCCTCACTCACCTCCACAAATGAGAACGTCTACTTGATTCGATGGTTTCCACCACTCAGGGACACCGTGTGGGGAGGCGGTACCATCATAGAGCGTCGGCCAGGTTCTCAAGACGTTAAAGCCAGCGGAATTGTGTTTAGACGAGGTGACACACTCCACCGCAGGGGGAAGTTCATAGTGAGGTCGGTCATCTTCGGGGTCCTGTTAGTTCCATTCGTGAGTCAGCGGTAACTTCCAAGGCAGAAGGGGTGGGAGATGGAGATGCACATCATCTTCTATGATCTTCCAGTGCTCCTTTGTCGCTGGTTGCTTGAACCCGTTTCGAAAAGTGGCGGGAAGAACCGAATGCGCCATGGCAAGTAAAGGTCGATGAGAGATAACAAGGATATGGATATCGTCGTGTCCTAACAAAACAAATCAAACCTGGAAGAATAGGCTCTTAGGTAGTATCCTGAATATATGTGCTGAGGGTACACTCGAAGTAAGTGTGCTGGCATTATGGCAGACCCGCGTATACTTGTAAGTGTAAGGTGTAGATACTCCGGTCCCCCCAAAGAGAAACTGATCATTGAGATCCAAGAAAGGATCACTGATCTCATGTAGGAACAAACACCCAAATCATAGACTTGATTACCTGAACGTGAGGATGGTCTCCAAAGCCCAAGATCTAGGATATCGTCCATCCATTCTGACATAAAGATGCCAACTAGCAACACATACACAAAAGAGACAAATAGAAGTTGTTCCAACTACAGGCTGGCAGCTGGGTAGTACAGTGGGGTGCATACTCTTCCCTACAATTGATGCCTGAATGCCCATTCACGGCGTGAGAGATTTATCATGAAATCGGCCTCGGGTTTGGATGGCTTTAGTATGCACGATGTGAATAGTGTAGAGAATCGAGTTAATCTTCCTGGAGTTTCTTATTATTGTACGCTTCTTCATTGGCAAATCCGCTACTTCTGGCAATTAGCTGATTTGACATTTTTACCTAGCATGCGCATGCTGATGCCCCTTCTTCACTGGGTATGAATGTCCAATTCCAAAGCCGTCCGATGTTTCAAGTGACTGGAATCTTAACCTTGGAATCTCGCCTTGAGAATAGCCGCAAGAGCCTGTCGCAGCTTCTCAGATACATCGTGAACCTATGTGAAGTCAGCGAAATTCGGAAAATGCCTTGATCCAGCTAAAGACGATAGAAATCAGTTTCTTTCCTCCGGGCCCTGTGACTCACATTTGCAGGTTTGAAGGGCTCGAAGTGATTACCCGGTATATCGAAAACAAGGAGTTCTTGACCGATAACACTTTGCCAATTGGAGAGCGATTCGATTCTCGCATTCGCATCCTCGAGCCAAGGGTATTTTACACCGCACAGACGTGTGGTGTCTAAACAATCTTGACTGTGTAACATTCCGTAGAGTCTATCCTCTGGAATAGAGCCACTAGGACGGTAGTCGGCGAGGAACCGCGCATGGTGGGCAAACTGCTCAGTAATCCTGGGTGATGTAGCATGTACTGGATGCAGAATGAGATTAACAACCGCACTGGGAAGCGGCTCATGATTGAGAGGGCATGGGGAGTCAATCAAAATGATTCCAAGAGTATCGTAGTCTTGAGATTTGAGCTGCTGGGCTACCTCATGGGCCACAACGCCTCCGAATGACCATCCTAGTTGCCACACACAAGTTAGCATGATGATTATATCTAGAGGTTTCAAGGGGAACAAAACAGAAACAAGGATGGGTATACCTCCAAGGATAATCGGACTGATCGCAGACGCTTTGATGGTCGATGCGTATCGGCGGGCCATATCTTTGAGATCTGCTGCCCAGTGGGAGGAGCCCTTCAGTGGCGGGTTTGCAACGCCCATGATATTGCAACCTATCTTGCCGAGTCTTCTGTAGCTCTCAATAGTGCCGCTTCCATCATGGAAGAGGACCAACGTGGGAAGTTTTGGAGAGCCAGCCTGAAGCATAGTGAGGACGGGATCTGGTAGATTTTCCTGTACTCCCTCAAGAGGAGGGAACAGCGATCCCGATGTAGCTGTGGAGGGTGAAAGTTGCCCGTCGGGGGTGGAAGACAGTCTAACTGCAAGATCACTGACACGAAGCTCTGCATCGAGATCCTCCGAAGAAATACCTTTGCCAAATTCGTGTTCCAGGAACTCCCGGGCTTCAATAGCCATCATGGAATCCAGCCCGAGGTTTGCCAGTGTCATGTCGTGATTGATCTCGCTCTCTGGAATTCCACAGACATCGCTGAATATTTTTACCAGCCTTTCGAGTCCCGCCGACTGAGAAGAGCTATCGCTCAAATACTCAGTTGCTAGTTGTAATTCCGAGTTACTGGATGCATGCCCTGACGATTCCTGACTGGGGAACACCTTGTGTTGCACATCTGGGCTCTGCACACCGACAGCATCTCTGATTTGGCCATGGTCTGATGGTGGCAGCATACGCGCAGCCACAAAATCTTGAAGTTCCCGAACGCTTGCATCTTCGTCCAATTCTGCAGAGCTCAACGAGAGACCGTTTGCAAAATGGCTGCTCAGGGAGGCACACAGCTCAATCTTCATTAACGAGTCTACCCCAAGAGAAGACAGTTTGCAATCTTGTGTGATGGAGTGCACTGGCCTGCCGCATGTCGCAGAAACCAAGTCCATCACTGTTTGCCGCGCTGTGGCAATAGACATCTCTGCTCGTCGATGATGATCATCGACGGGATTGGTCATCTGACTCGGAGCAGCACTCGGGCTGGCACTGGGGTGGCGTTGACTCTGCCGGGAAAGATGATTATGGAGGGTCTTCAGCTTGACTTGTTTAAAGTGCATCCCTTCGACGCAAGCAACAACAATGCCTGCCTCTGTCATGGCAAAAGCCTCTCCAACTAAGGTGCCATCCTGACCGTCCAGCAAACTGCAATATAAAGAATACCGCTGGGATTGATCCAGATCCTGGTAAAGGATGCGAACATTCTCCACTCGCACACAGATGCAGACATCAGAAAGTGGGATGTGGCTGTTGGCGACAAAGCCTGCGGCATGCAGTAGCGTATCGACAAAGACCGGAGACAGCACTCCGCGGGCCTTGATAGATTCCCCTGGCACCTTGAACGCCCCGAATGCCTCCAAAGCATCCTCGGCGACGGTGAGCCGTTCCAGGGAATGGTACTCTGGCGAATATTGTACCACGCGAGAGAAGATCACGTTGTAGATAGCCTTTGTATGGAAGACATTCTTGACGGTATGACTTCCCTGTAGGTGATGGATTTGCCGCTTCATGTAAGCCGCTTTGCGAGTCAGATACCTCCGAGTCTCAGACAGAGGGACGGGTAACAGTAATCCAGAGCAGTGCTTGACGTTGGCTTCAGGCAGCGACGTATCACCTGAGGCAACGTCAAAATGCCATTCAGTTCCCACTCGTTTTACAGACAGATAAACTGCCGTTCCTCCATTCTTCGTCTGATAAAGAAGGGGTCGTTCGAAGGAGAGATCCTTGACAACAAGCATCTCATTCTCCCCGACCAGTGAATCCGAAACACCGGCTTCCAGTGCCATTTCGTGATAGACAGATGCAGGGCACAAGAAATTGGCCGCGACCGCATGACCGAGCAAGTAGCTCGAGAGGACTTCCATTTTAGACATGTAAACGGTTGGGCTATCTGCCGACTCTTCCTGGACCTTGTCCGTGAGAAGCAGAAGTGACCGAGGCTTTTCCAGGGTGGCTGAAGGGATTTGCTGCTCGTGGTTACAAGTCATTTCTCGGAATGGAATATGGATAGTGCTATTTTGAAGCGGATACTCAGGACAGTCCATGATTCGGGCGTTAGTACCGCTGAAAACCTGGCGCCAGTTGACTGGTTCGTTCTGCAAGCTCAAGGTCTGGAGAGATGCGCACAGCGTCTCCCAGGGATCTTGGTCTTTTTTCAGAGAGGGCAAGAACAGACTGCGGTCAGAGGTGACTCCTTTTCGAATCATCGGGAGGGTAATTGGAGCAGCACCAATGTCAATAAAAGCCGTATGGCGCTTGCCATCCTGGAGGTCTAAAGAGGACAAAAGAGCCGCGAATTGGACCACATGACGCGTCTGCTTGGGGATATATTCACTGGTCAGATCTTCGGACGTCAGTAGACGGCCGTTATATGACGACCCAATTGGGTACTTGGGCTCTGAAAACTGCAAGCCCCTGCAAAACCTTTCCAGTGGCTCGATGATAGGGTCCAATGCCGGGGAATGAAAGCCCAGCGACACATTTAGCTCCGTGCAGCGAGTACCTTGTGCACTTAACAGGTCCGACAGTGTACGGATCTCATCTCGAGGGCCAGAAACCACCGAATCATGTGCAGTGTTTTCGCAGGAAAGAGTGATATGTGACAGCCCTGGGCCTTGTGACTTGAGAACATCTGTCAGGTCCGAGGCCGACTTCTGACACGCCAACATGGTTGTTTCGTCGACCTGACAATTGTCCGCCATTAATTGCGCTCGGTGTGAAACAAGCCATAGTGCGTCCTTTAGGGAAAGGACACCACTGATAGCCATTGCGACGTAGTCTCCTAAGCTACTGACTCGTGAGCAATTCCATACCTTACATGGTGGTCAGAACGGGATATTCGTACCTATGGCCAATGAGCAACTCTGGCTGCACATCCCAGGACAACCATAGATACGCCAGCGCATATTCGACGACAAAGCAAGCAACTTGGGACAGGACAAGATGTTCTTTTCCTGGCCGAGGCACCTGTGTACCACGGATGATTGGCATGATCTCAGGATAGTCGAGATTCTGGAGTATAAGATCACACTGCTGGACGGTTTGCTGAAATACGGGCGATGTTGACAGAAGTACCTTGCCCATGCCCACGTAGAAGCTGCCCTGGCCGGAAAAGACGAAAATGACCCGAGGTTTCAGGTTGGATTTGCAGCATGTCACCCCGGGAGGGTTTGCTAGTTGTTCCAGCAAATGGCTGGTGCTCTTACAAACCAGCGAAACTCGATAGTCATATACTTGCCTTCGGGCTGTGAGGGTATAGCAAAGATTTCGGATTGGAATGTTCGACCCAGAAAGAAGCATTTCGCGCAGAGCATGGAGAATCACCTGAAGAGCGCCCTCGGTCTTGGCCGAGACGATCAAGTTATATGCCGTCCGCGACGGCAACTTCACGGCCAGAGCGCTCGAATATTCTTCCAAGATGAGGGCAGCATTGGATCCTGCAGCACCGAAGTTATTCAACAAGGCCCGTCGTACCTCACCATCTTGCCCCGTGGGCCAATCCTGGCCAACGGTAGTGATCCGGATGTTGTTCGATGCCAATGCCGTCAACTTTGGATTGAGATATTTCAGTCCCACTTGAGCTGGGATTCGCTTCTTCTGCAACATCAGCAGAAGTTTTGCCAGGCCAGCCGCACCGGACGCCGCCTCTGCATGTCCAATATTGGCTTTTACAGATGTCAGGAACACTGGCCGCGATGCAGTAGTAATTCCAAAGACCCGTTGAATACTTGACGCCTCTGTTGCATCTCCAGCCTACCGATCCGGGGTCAGCATCCATACCCCCTGAGCTGAAAATCCCCCCTTGCCTGAGTCCTGAATGAACATACCTGGGTTCCCGTGCCATGGGCCTCTACCACATTTACTGATCTCGCGTCAAGCTTGGTTTTTCGCAGCAACTTCTGCATCAGCCTTTCCTGGGTGTCCACATGGGGATGCGTGATTGAATGGGCATTTCCACTCTGGTTCAGCTCAACGCCTCTGATCACTCCGTGAATGCGGTCATTCTCATGAACGGCGTCTGCAAGTGGTTTTATCACAAAAAGCCCACACCCTTCAGCACGGCAGTATCCATCGGCGGTGGCATCGAATGGCTTACACTGGCCAGTAGGGCTGAGAAAGTGGGCGCGAGAGAGTTTCATATACATCTATATTGCACAGTCAGCAAATGATCCGCAATCCAACAGTCCAGATCATGGCTCACATCTGGGCTGGTGATGGCGTTCACACCACCCACAAGGGCTGCTGAGCAGTCCCCATTCGCCAGGGCTCGACAGGCCAGCGCGATGGACACCAGAGACGATGAGCATGCGGTATCGGTGACCAGAGAAGGACCACTCCAGCCAAAGGCATAGGATATCTTACCGCTGAGGAATGCCCGTAGGGTACCTACAGGAGCACATCATCAGTCGGGACCAGAACTAGAAATGGATACATGATGGGATGAACTAACCTGTGGAGGAGTAGACATCGATATCGTTCATGAGATTTTGGACATAGTCATCCGTTGCAACTCCAATATAGCAACCCATGGTGTCAGTCTGGAAAGAAGGAGTGGCATTCGGGACGTATCCAGCATCATCCAGTGCTCGCAGCGCTCCCTGTAAGAGAAGCTTTTGCTGAGGATCCATGGATTTTGCCTCCCGGGGAGATATATTGAAAAACTGATGGTCAAACGCATGAGGGTCTGACAAGAAGTTTCCATGCCGCGTCGGCATATGTCGAGAATTGCCAGCCTGATTTCCACTCCCAGAAGGGGAATATTGCTCAACCTTGAACCGGGTGGTGGGGATCTGAGCCTTTTCATCAGCTATTATCACGACAATTATCACGACTAGAGGTGAACAAGAAGTGAAAGAAAGTAGAAAAGAGTCTACATACCTCCTCCACTGAGTTCAGGCCGCTTTCGAGCGTGTTCCAGAATTCTTCCTTGGTTGCACCGAGGGGGAAATTAACAGACATACCAACCACAGCAAACCCGTCTTGCTTCTCCGTCCGGGATCTATTAGAACCAGCACCTGTCATATTCAGAATAGTCGTCCTCGGGAGTGTCAAGTCTTTCGACAGATTGTGGATGATTCCATGCGCGCCGGGGCCCACGGTCATAATCTCCCGGTCATGGCCAGCGTCTGTCATCAATTGGGACAGATTTATCCACGTCATGTATAAGTCATCTCTTTCAACGAGGATGCTGTCCAAAGTAATCTGCAGTAAGGATGTATTTAAGCTTGTTTCAGAGTCGATAAACTTGGCCAGCTGTGGCGACCAGATCGGAAAGGCGAGATCAGCAACAGACGGAAAGGATATTTCCCGCCGTTCGACATCAAGCAGAACCTTGTCTCGGGAAATACATCCCAGATCCCCTCCATGGTAGAGGGCATGAACATGGACAGGGTCGCAGATGGCACGTCCCGTCAGACACTGGGCACGAAATCGGTCTAGTATGCCCCAAGGGCCGACCACAGTGATCGCGGACCTACCAAATCGATTGGAAAGGCGGATTTCGTTGTTGGGTGTGGTTGTTCCCTATATTGGCCCGTGTTAGAAGTGAGCATCTTGCTATTTTCCCACTGGCATTCGCTAAAGAACTTGCCTGGCTGATATTGAATGAAGTCAAAAGGCTCGAGAGCTCGCTTTGCTCCAGCCCAAGCACGGACAGTCCCCAAGCCCCTTCCGTGTTGGATATACTTCTACTGAGCTCGCCGGCTCGGTATCCTATCCAATATGCCAGGCGAATTGCCTGTCTGCTGTGTTCAATGTAGTCACTGATTGATCGACTGGAGGCTAGAACCAGCGCGGGCAATACCCCAGAGCAAAAGCCGATCACCCCCAAGGGAGGAGACTGGACGTGGTCTAGGCTCGGGCTTTGCTGCAGATAGGTGGCCAGCTGTTGGAGGCAAAGTGCAACGCCTTGGACGATCGGGTTCTGCCAATGTTCCTGGGGAACGCTGATCAAGAGGTCGGGTGACTGGAAATCATCCAAGTTGGCCCACGAAGGCCCCGTGTTATAGTTCTTTGTGGCTTCTATCTCACCAAGAAAGGCCGCATGGCAAGCTTTAAACAGCGATTCGACGGACGAGGACTGCTGAATCGACTGGTTCAACTCAGCGGAGGTCTTGGAAGAGAAAATGGCTCTACTTCCTTGTCCGCCGAAGAAGACAATACGCTGAGATGCAGCCATGCCTGGGATTGGTAAGATGTTCGTTGTCACTGTCATTTGATACTAACACAGGAGTATGTCAGGCTATGATGCACTGTAACCACGAACTATGAAGGGCATACTTAGCCCTGGTATAGTTATGGACCTGCGTACTGACTAAGCAGAGCTCGCCGGCCCCGGCATCTGGGGGGTTCCCCTAGGTGCCTGTGGTAGATTCTACCACATGCAGGCGCCAAAGCTGACAATGGGCACTTTCGAAGGCTGGACCGTACGCAGGTCCCATGCACATCTCCAGGATACGTGAGAAAAGCGGAAATCGCTTCAATATAAGCTCCATGTCCTGGATTCCAGTGCATTGCGTTGAATCCGAACAATTTGTGGACGTGATATCAAGATGCTAATCCAGTCTGAGAACCCACCGTTCCGAAGGCCTATATTGGACCTGTCAATTGCAACATTCAATGAAGAATGCGATGAAGCATCCAATGAGGCGTCCGGTATATGCTCTCTACCGGAATTGATTGACTTCAACGCTGCTCACAATCCTCATCGTCTGTTCTGCCTGCAAGAGGAACGCGAGAACGGGGAACATGGCAGTCTCACATCACTCACCTTCCTCGGCGTCCAAAAGGCAATATATGCCGCTGCTGCTTCCCTGCGGAAGATCACAAGTGCTTCACTGAAGACTTCCCAGCAACCTGTCGCCCTGCTCCTAGAAAGCGATGTGACTCTCTTTGTGTACCTTTCGGCTCTACTATACATGGACATACCGGTGAGTAGCCACGAATGTACACCGATCATTGGCCGGTCCAGAAGTACTCAATGTTCCAAAGGTCCTGCTCTTGTCCATACGATTGAGCCCTGTGGCAACGGCTCACCTGCTGCAAGAGACATCTGCTCAGGCCCTGATTGTCTCGCACCGAAGCAGCCACGCAGGAAACCAGGCACTCGACCTTCTGCCTACTACGGGCCCCCGGTTGCCCCTTATCTCCGCAATATCGTACAAGAAACTCATTACCTCAGGCGAGGGCGTTGCTGTCCCGCCCACCACCTCCAGAGCCGGTTCTTCGCGGGCCCGGGATGAGATGATGGTAATTCTGCATTCATCCGGAACGACGGGGTTGCCCAAACCCATCCGACTGTCGCAGCGGTATCCCCTGACGTACGCTGCCTGCCATCGTCTGGCGCCGGAGGAGTGTGTGAATCGTGTCAACCTATCCACTCTGCCCCTTTACCATGTGCGTTGAAGTCATCAAGACGTCCAGTCACGAAAACGTGTTGCGCCAGACTGACTCAGCCCGTTCCTGTCTAGGGATTTGGTCTTCTCGCCCCATGCCTGAGTCTATCGACGGGCAAGTCATGTTGCTTTCCCTCATCGGCGATCATTCCATCGGCCACATCGGTGACGGAGCTACTGGAGAGATCCGCGGCTGCCTCCTTGATGACGGTGCCGATCATTCTGGAGGAGATGATAGAGTCCAGCCAGTGTATTGGCATCCTAAAGCCATTAGACTTTGTTGCCGTTGGAGGTGGCGCGATCAAGAGAAAGGTGGGTGAGCTTCTGGCCGCCAACGGCGTCAGACTCCTCAATCACTACGGCGCCACAGAGATCGGGCCCATTGCCCCCATCTTTATTCCGTCCGAAGATTATGACTGGAACTATCTCCGGATTCGCACCGACCTCGGCCTGCGCGTCGTCGACCTTGAATTTGACCAGAGCGCAGCAGAAGCCCCGCGTTGCCAACTGATCGGGTTCCCATTCGGCTGGCAGCAGCCCTATAATGTGCCCGATCTCCTGGAGAAAAGGCCGGGTTCCACGTTCCTTGAGGTACGAATCTTGGGCCGCAATGATGATCTCATTGTGCTCTCGACTGGTGAGAAAGTGCGACCTGGCAAATTAGAAAACGCCCTACAGGCGACAGATCTCATCCAGACGGCCCTCGTGTTCGGGGAACATCGCGAGGAAATCGGGGTCCTTGTGGAACCCAGGCGGGCGATCCCTTCGCAGGACCTTTCACAATTCCTAGCAACTCTCTGGTCTTTGGTTGAGGCTCAGAACTGTGACTTGGATCGCCATGCCCGAGTTTCTTCGATGGATATGATCATTGTGAAGCCCGAGGGCAAGTGTCTGCCTTTGTCTGATAAGGGCTCAGTAATGCGCAAGGAGGCTTATGCGCGCTTTCAAACGGAGATAGACGCCGTCTATTCCCAACGCACAGGCAACGGAAGTTCGATTACTCTGCTTTCACCAGAGTCAGGGAAACTCGAAGCCGATCTGAGAGTGTTGGTCGAGCGGTGCGTCCACGATCGAATTGCTGGTCGGCCATGGACAAATCAGCATGATTTCTTCGAGCTGGGAATGGACTCTCTGGAAGCGTCCCGTCTGGCGCAGCTTTTGAACCGCGTGCAGGACAAGTCTGCGTTTGCTGTTCTGCGCGACGGCCCCGTCAAGCCAAGTTTTATCTACCAACATCCCAGCGTGGTTGCCTTAGCGGCTGCCCTGCAATCGGGAGAATGCGCTGGTGAAAACGTAAATCGAGTGCGCGCCATGACCGACCTTGTGACTCGGTTCTCACCCTCTTCATCAACAACCTCCAACCGTGTGGTCCTGATCACAGGATCAACTGGCAGCCTAGGAGTGCACCTCCTCCAGGAGCTCTGTAGGGACGTTAGCGTGAACCAGGTCATTTGTCTGATGCGACGGGCCCATGGCGATGAGAATGCTGACGACCTTGACGATCTTCGGGCTCGTCAGGAGAGAGCCAACTCCGCCAAGGGAGTGCATCTCACCGACGAGGCATGGGCAAAGATCACCTTACACGAGGCCCGGCTAGACGACCACACTCTTGGGCTGGACGGCGAAACGTATGCACAGCTGACAGGTGCAGTTACAGACGTTTTGCACAATGCTTGGCCAGTGAACTTCCAACGCACGCTGCACTCGCTGGAACCGCAAATACAAACTGTCAAAAGCCTTATACACTTTTCCATCCAATGCCAACGCGACCGGTCACATCTGACCCCGAGATTGATCTTCATATCTTCTATCGCAGTGGGGGCTCGCTTTCCGTCTACCGTGCTCCCTGAGATCCTGATCACGGACCCGACCAGCACGGCGGCACTAGGCTACGCTGAGGCCAAATGGGTCTGTGAACGCATCATCGCCGAAAGTCTGGCTGTATTTCCGGGCCGGCTGCAGCCCTCGATTGTCCGCTTGGGTCAAATCACGGGGGCGACTGAGTGCGCGCGATGGAATCAGAATGAACACATCCCGGCGATTCTCAAGGCATCGCAGATCGTCGGTGCAATGCCAGAGATAAATGGGGTAGGTTGCAATTTGCACCGCTTGATCTCACATTGTTGCTGTTGTTAACTCGCATCTCACAAAAATAGACCTACTCCTGGATCCCAGTTGAAATCGCTGCCAAGGCCATCCGCGATATCCTCACTACCTCGCAACCAACGAATCTGGTGTATCACGTCGAAAATCCAGTGAGACAGCCCTGGAAGGCCCTGCTAACTGTCCTCGCCTGCCAGCTCAACTTGCCTTCTCCGGCGCCAATCCCTCTAGACCTGTGGCTGCGCAAGGTTGATTCACAGACCAACTTATTGTCCGAGTTGGAAGATTTCCTGCGGGGGGAGTTTCTGCGACTGGCCGGAGGAGGTCTCATTTTGGATACTACCCAGGCGCGAAAGGTCTCCTACACCCTTCGGACGTGTAACGGGGTTACTCCAGATCTTGTCTGCAAGTACATTGACGTGTGGCAGAAGGAGGGCTTTCTCCAGTGAAACGATGAGAAGATGAGCGGTTGGGTATATCTGGTGACGCGCCATGTAGTTGACATATCGATTTGTCTGGGGCGAGTCTCAGGGGAATGCCGCTAATCCCTCGAATTATAGAGACCCTCTTTTGTTAATGGGATAACCGGGCTTTTGGACTGTCTTCTTTATGTTTATTTACTCCGTGCCGACAACACGGAGTACAACATTTGAATGCGCATGATCAAGCATGAGTCACCGCCTTTGTACACCGTCCTTTTCTGCCAACTTTGTGCCAACTCTACCTTCACCGCTAATCTTTCGCCTGTCAATTTCCCCCCTTGCTCTCTTGCTCTCTTATTCCATTCCTTCTCTAGCTTCAATCTCTGTTGTATAATAGCAAATGAGATTTCCATTCTATCTGGCAGCTCGTTACTCCGTACATATCATGTGGTAAACATGTGCCCGTGATAGCTGGCAAGACAGTCCTGTCTCTATTCCCCTCATCACACCTCACCATCCACATCCGTTCCGCTGGTCCAAGCCTGTACCGCCTGCATCTGGCTAGCACGAGTCTCATGTGCTTGCAACTCTGCTGCCGGGACGTCCGGTCCCACAGGTAAAAGCCAAGGGAGGGTGCCGTCACCGCGGGCCACAGCATCAACAATCACCCGGGCGCCCTTGACCGGATCACCCTGCTGAGAACCATCAAAGGCATCGAAAGCGGCGCGAATTGGATTCAACACAGGGTCGTAATCGCTGATATGGCCGGCGACTTTGCGGCGGTGCCCGGCCGAGAGAAACGGGGTGCGGAAGTGACCCAGCTGCACCAGGGAGACATGAATCCCTAGGGGATCAACCTCCTTCTGCAAGGCCTCGACTGCCGTCGAGAGTGCGGCCTTGGAGGCGCAGAAGATACCGGCGTTAGCTGCGCCTTGGAGACTGCCAATACCGACCACGTGGGCAATTGTGCCTTTGTGGGCAGATCTCATTGAGGGGAGGATAGCGCGGGTCAGGCGTAGTGGTCCGAAGACATGGGTTTCGAAAATATGTTGCGTCTCTTCATCACTGGCCGACGGGAGTAATCAGTCACGGATACAGGGGGGGAAATTGTGAGAAGAATTCTCAGTACCTGGCCTCTTCGACTGCCCCTTCCAAGAGATACCCGGCCACGTTGATGATGGCATCGATAAACCCGTGTTGCTGGATCAACGGGGCGAGAGCTTCTTGAATCACAGCAAAAGAACTGGTCAAATCTAACTCTAGGATCTGGCAGCCAGCTGTGGCCACCGTCTGCAGCCTGGATTTATCCCTTCCCGCTGCGATGACAGTGGCATGCGACTGGGCCTGCATGGCGATTTCCTGACCGATTCCTGACGAGGCCCCGATGACTAACCACACCGGACGTCGACCTGCACAGGATTTGCGGATATCGTGGGCCATCTTCTTGTTTCCTTTCGCCTTTGATTGTGAATGGTCAGTAGTCACGAATCACGATATGGCGGGAATCGGAAGACCAGGTGGAACTTTCGTTGGAGCATTTGAAGGGGGAATGATCTCAACATGAAAGAAGTAACAGGAACTGTGGTCCAAGTATCCATGAATGTATCTATTTACGCAGGCCCAAGAACTGGTGTGTAGTCGATTCAATGGGGGGTTTCAGCGGGAGACCATCTACTGAGAAAATTACCTGAACACACGAGAACCTTGGGAAGTTATGTATATACCTTTTGCATATGCACTATTAAGTAGAGGCATTAGCGGAACGCTCTCACCAAACCCCTTTAGAATGGGAATCCATGGATCCTAGTTTGGGTTCTCGGTGTCCAAAAGGTGTCCACCATTGCCTGATATTTAAGACACCTATACCAACCGGGTGACTCATTGAGAAAGCCTTTAAGCAGCGGTGTGGAGGCTAACAGGTAATGAAGGCTACTCGCATCACACTCGGCTTTACAGTATCTGCGATGTTTATCTCCGTCTTTTTAGGATCCATGGATATCACACTTCTTTGTTTAAAGATATGTGATGCATCATGATCCCCAGTGTCTAATCTAATTCGTCGGTTTGGATACTAGCCGTTACACTGTCCATACAATCCTTTCGCTAACCAATAAGCACTTGTTTAGTATATAGGATTTGGCCCACTTTGCTAGGCAGTTGCGACAGGGATGCTTTAGTGGATTTACAGTTGAGCTGTTTAAACCGGAAACCCCTCATTTACGCAGGTCCCATCATATGTGACATCAGACTATACATCCAGGACTAAAGGGCTTAAATGAACGTCCTCCCCTACCGGTCCTTGAACATCCTAATCTCAATTTCTTTGAGAACACATCCATTTATCCACCATGTCTTCTACCTCCCGAATCTGGCTCATCACTGGCACCTCGTCTGGATTTGGCCTCGAGTTGGCGAAAGTGGCCGCCAAGAGCGGAGATCGTGTATTGGCCGCCACTCGGAGTCCGCATAAATTAGCCGAGCTCGAGTCAGCCAATCCCAACATCAAGGCTGTCTACCTAGACCACAACGAGCCCCCAGCCCAGATCCAGGAAGCAGTCAAAACCATCCTAGCTGTCTATGGAACGGTCGACATTGTCGTCAACAATGCCGCCTACGTGCACACAGGAATGCTGGAAGAGGCCACCGCAGAAGAGACTCAGCGTCAATTCCAAGCCAATACATTCGGCCCCCTGAACCTCTACCGCGCCTTACTGCCCCACCTCCGCGCTAAGGGGTCAGGCACTTTGGTTACGATCGGCTCTATGGCCGCCTGGTACCCCATGGCCGGCTGCAATCTCTACAACGCCTCCAAGGCTGCTCTGCGCTGGCTCGGACTTGGACTCGGGGGTGAAATCTCCCAGTTCGGGATCCGCCACTGTTTAGTTGAACCGGGCTTCTTCCGTACCGAGTTGCTGAACCCCAAAGCCAATATTACCCCGACCGACAAGACCTCGCGCCTATCGGCCTACAAGGAGGTAAACGACACAACCGACTCCAACTTTGCCGCCTTTAACGGCGCCCAACTGGGTAACCCCGTCAAGGGCGCGCAGGTTATCTACGACGTCACTACCTCCACGGGAGTCGCGGAGGGGAAATCCCTACCTGCTTTTTTGCCTTTGGGCAGTGATGCCAGCGAGGCGATTGGCAAGGCCGCATCTGAGACCTTGGCGGCGATTGAGGAATGGCGGGAGATTAGTGCCTCGACGGACTTTCCCAAGGGTTCGTAATTGAGTACTTGGTTTTATGGGTATTCTGGGGGAATGTGCCCATCCGTGCTGTCCGGGACAACGCACAAGTGCTTGCCCAAGGTTGTGCACGCGCTTGTCCGGCTTGTGGACATGGGTTTGTATTCACAGGATCTGTGGAACGTTTCGCCTTGCTCAGCCCTTGGATTTTCTACATAGAGGCTAGACTTGCCGCTCCTTTTGATCATATCACCAGTCAATTTTATGGATTTTTTGGAGCTTTTCTCTCTGCCGTAGCCTTACATATATCACCGTCAAGGGACAGTCCCACTAGTTGCCAGCATTAAAGTTCATCCGGCTCTTAGCAGACTCCGATTGGTCAAAAGTAAACTCCCTGATTGGTTCAGACAGCCGCATTAGCCCTATCAGGCTTAGCTTATCTTAATCAAGTGGGGTGCCTAGCCCCCTGGTATCCTGTCGGAGCACGCCCGGGCGGGCTGGTAACCTTGGAACTCACCAGAATTTGTGTGGCATCGCTGAGCCCATTCCTTTTTTTTTTTTTCTTGTATGAAATGCTGGGATATGACAAATCCCGCAGGATATACTTAAGAATATTACCATCTTCCCTATCTCCGACCATG